TGTAGACTTTGAAGTCAAATTGGGCTCAAATCCAATTCTGTTCTTTGCCAGTTCTATGATCTTGATCAAGTTATTTAGTGTCTGTGTGTCTCAGATTCTTATCTGTGAATTTGGCCTAAACGTTAAGTATAAACTTGAAATCCTAAGATATTATCTTCCCATTTCTATCATATCAAAACAAAGGTCAGTGAAAATAATAAATAAACCTAAAGATTTCATTTTCAGCAAACCTGGGGTCCTAATATAATCTGAAAACCCCAAAGATGTGCCAAGAAAAGCAGATGCCTCATAAAGTCAATAATAAGATTTCAGAAAGCACCAGCAAAACCAAACTTCCTGAAGGTGAGGAGCATACCTTGAAGTACTTAATATCTAGCCCTTGAATGCAAGAAATGCTAAAGAATCTGAGGCGGGCAGAAGCTGCCCAGGGGGAAATATAAGAGGCACAGCTGATAGCCAAATGGCTAAATGGGACTGAATCTCAGAATGCAAAAATACACTTCCTGGCCAGGGATTTAGCTCAGTGGTTCGGTGGCCTGCCTTGCAAGCGCAAGGACCAGAGTTCAATCCCAGTACAAAAAAAAAAAAACAAAAACAAAAAACCCAAAAATACACTTCCTGAGGTTAAGGATTCATCCGGAACCATGTACCAGTGAGAGTGGATACCGAGAAAGAAGAGTAAGAGGTCGTAGGCAGAGCCCACTGTGGAACTAGTGTGATCTAGAAAAAAGAGGGAAAAGGAAGCTAGTAACATTGAAGCAGTTTTGAGATTTGGAAGTCATGGCCCAATTCCCATAGCACCCTTCTATACGTTCCTGGGAAAGGAACTAATGAAAAGCAGTTGGTGCAGCATAAGAGGTAGACAACGACAATGAGAAAAATATAGAAAAAAACAGCAAAGATGGGAATGTACACATAAAACTTTGCTACTAAACAGATAAAAATTTTGACCAAATATTTTTAAAAATTCAAATCACAGATATGAAAAAGATGGCAAAGCAGAAATATTCTCAGGGAAAAATGAAGAATACTCGGGGGAAAGGAAAGAAAGACAGAAATGTGAGTTTATAGAACTCATAGGTCATAGAAATAAAAACTTTATAAATTCAGGTAAAATTAGAAAAAGCCCAAAAGAAAACCTGACATTGTGGAAAACATTAAAGATAGAAGTAAGAAAAACAAAACAACTGAAGATAAAAGATATATTAAAAAGAATTACAGTCAAATGATATATTTGTAGAATGTAGCTTGATTCAACATTCTCAAAATAGGAATTTTTGAAGAAGAAAACCAAAACTTTATGAATTAGACATAGCCAATGTCAAAGGCATAACTCATGCCAACTTTGCTGAAGTAAAAAGATGTCTTGTATTTATACCATGGATAGACAAACTGTGCTCCAGGAAACACCCAGGTGGTCAGTAGGGACCCATGTTCTTACCACATCACAGCACTGCAAAGACAAAACACAACTCTGGGCGTGAAGGCAAAAAAGTGAATCACATATAAGGGCAAAGAAATTTAACAGACTTCAGATTTCTCCACTGTAGCATACAATTTGTTAAAATGGTGGAACAATAACCATAAGATATTTCAAAGAAAGAAAATATCAGCAAAGAAATTTTTATTATACTTAAGGTATAAGGCTACAAACAAGCATTTTTGAAAAGTTCAACACTCAGGTAATGATCCCATGAACCTTCTTGAGGAAACTAATAGAGCATAAACTGCAACAGAAGTGTCCAAAGAATCTATTCCAAAAGGTGAGGTTCTTTATCAGAAGAAAATACAGCAAATACCAAGCAGTATCTCTGGTGTGAATAAACTATAATAGTACATAAGATCCTAATGAGATAATTGACAATGTGAAATAGGAAGAAAAGGGCTAAAGGTATAGGGAAGGTGGAAAGGGTAGGAGAAGGGTAATAAGGGAAAGAAAACAAATAGGAGAAAATGAAAAAAATGGAAATAAAATGTTTGTAAATGGGGAGGGGAGGAGGGGGTGAAGGGAGGGCAGGGACAAGGGGGAAAAATGAGAACCAAGACCTGTCATGTAAAGGTACAGGATCCCAATAATGAATGTAACTGTACTGTATACCTAAAATGTACCAATAAACTCAATGAGAAAAAATTTAATACAGAAGAAAATATGGGAACACGGCAGAATAAACTGCCATATAAACTGACAGAGTAAGAATGGCACAATGATTAAAAAATAAAATGAGAGGGAAAGTAGAGAGGGATGAAGAGTAGATTGATTTTTCTGATTGCCTTGTTTATAGAACCTAGGGTTGAAAAATTATCCAAAATTGATAACTCAATAAAAAACTTTAAAGATATTTGACAATAAAATGGTACATTTAAAATAGGTATTCCTACTGACTAATATTAATGGCACAGGAAAGGATAAAATGGGAGGAAAAGACATGGTTTAAGAAAAGAAGTACTAGATATGTCTAAAGGGCACAGCATTGTATATGTACTATAAAGGGCAATTCATAGAATAAAAATACAAACAATTCTAAGTCTTAAAAGAACTACACATGAAAAGGAGTGGGAAAATCAAATGAGAGAATCTAAAATCTGTTATAAAAGCATAAAATGACAGATTAAACAAATTGTGTAAATTAACATATTTAACATATTGGATCACACAGCATCCCCTTCCATTTTAATCCAAAACACGATGTTTCAGAGTAGATAAAAAGAAAAGCACGGGCAGAAATATATTAGACAAATAGAAACAAACAAAAATGAGAGAAAGGAAGTTTAGGTTTAAGAGAATGCTAAAATTACAATAAACCATCTTTTTATAATTCAAAAAAGCATCATGTAAAATGAATATGTGAATTTTATGACGATATGCACCAAACAATTACATCAGTATTCATAAAGTAAGGAGATATACTAGTGGCAGCAGACTTTCTTAACTTCAGTCTATGATAGATTAATTGCATAAAAACAAGGATATAGAGGCTCTAAATGATATAAATATACCTTTTCATAACTATAGGAATAATTAACTAGTATATATTCACTAACTGGTATGTATTAAGTTAATAATGATTAAGAAATTACTAACTAGTATGTATTAAATTCTTTCTCTGAAAAACTTTCACCAGGGTTTATAAAGCATTATCGAAAATTAAGTGGTGGTGAAGCTCATCAAATTTCAAAAACAACATGAAGATGAGACATCATTTTCTGATCATAATGCTATTAAATTAGTTTTAACAAAACCAGGAAACAAAAAGACCCTTTTAACTGCAAATATAAAATTAATAAAAAGTCAAAGGGAATATATAAATGAAATGTTTTGTAAAAAGCAGCAGAAATGAAAATACTACATGTCAAGATCTATTGAATACCACTAAGCAGTACTCAGGAAATGTTTGAGCGTAAATGACTTCATTATCAAGAAAGATAGGAAAAATCAAGACCTAAGTAATGAACTTCTGAAATTAGAAAAGAAAATGAGGGAAAACATAATGAATAAAGACAAATGCCAAAATTAATTAATGACATAGAAGACAGACAAAAATAATAGAAAAGATAAACACATCTAAGGGCTATACATTTTAAATGACCAGTACTAAAACCTTAATTTTGAAGAAAATATTCAAAATTAGAAAAAAGTGAGACAAAGAACCATAGAAACAGGAGAGCAGAAAGAATTATAAAGAATTACTACATGAAAAATTTTGAGTAATACATTTGAAAGCCTAAAGGAAATTTATTTCATAGACAATGTAAATATCTAAAATTGGCTCAAGATGAACTGAAAAGTAGAATAGATCGATTCGCATGGTAGAGGTTAGGAAAGCAGATGATGTGCTAGCAATAAAAGCCAGCACAATAACTTTAGTTTGTAGATGAGTCTGTTGTAATTTCTTAGAAAAAGATAATCCCCAAATTATTTCAACTTTCATTAAAATAATGAAATTTCACTATTGCAGTCTGATAAGGAAGAACAGAAAAACAGACAAGACTAACTCACATATTGGACATAGGATTTTACATAAACTTGTAGAAAATCCATCAAATTAGCAGTCAAAAATCCAAAAAAATATCTAAAGAATAACTTTTTAAAAAGTACATTATATTTGAGGAATGCAGTCGTTCACTATTACTGCAAAGTTCACCACTACTACAAAGACAGTTGATTCAAAAAATAGTTATTTGTGATTAAAACTCCAGTAAAACATGATTGGAGGAAACATATGATATACATATAAGAAATACTGAAAACATATTTACATTTTAAAGTTTTCAAATACTTTTCCCAATAAAAATATTTACTTTAATAAGATCAGTAATTTGAAGTAATTCCTGAAGGAATTTGTTTTTTGCAATGAGAGGTTTTTGGGGGATAAAGAGTAGCACTGAGTATCATAAAAAAAAATGTGACTGTTCTTTTGTGTAAGAACAGCTCATTTGGCATCAAGGAATAATAGTTTGTGATTGTATATACTTTAAGCATTTTAATTTTTGAATAAGCAGTGTTTCTTCCCTTGCTCAATTCTCAGATTTAGATGTGCACACACTTGAAGTGAGGTAGCATTGGGCAAGGGTGCTCAAGTCACAGCCTAACATGGCACATGGATTCTTATTCTATTCGTTCAATTGAATATATATATATATATATATATATATATGCATGTGTATATGAACATATATGAATATAAAGCTTATATATATATGAGTAACAAATAAGACTCCTATTCAAGTGGGAAAAATGAGTAAGCTAAAATAATTTTTAATTGAATTTTGGGTTAAAAGATATTATGTAGATTATGTGCATATATATACACATACTTAATTCAAATGTTTACGTGTAATATGTTACTCTCCCTCTCCCTACCTGTTGTTACCTGGAAATTATTGATAGAACATGCTTATTTCAGAAATTACTATTTGTACAAGGAAGATTTTTTTCTTATACTCAAACCTGAATGCCCAAGAGTAAGACTCTTTCTCTCTCCCTTTTTTTTAATTTTCAGGCATAGACATTCTTCATCAACTAGGCCTTGGAGGCAAAGACGTACGACACTCATCATCAGTGACTGCTGTACCATCGTCATCTACACCATTACCTCAGGGGGTCTATTTAACAGAATCAGGCGTCATTTTAAAAGATGATGCATACATTGAGTCACCTCTCCCGAAAATTTTACCAGTCAATTTAGCACGGCCATTTACAATATTAATTGCACTACAGTCACATAAAGTGAATAATGCATTTTTCTTCAGTGTTAGAAATAAAAATAGACTGCAATTAGGGGTCCAATTACTACCTAAGAAGTTAATAGTATACATTGGAGGAAAGCAGTCTGTTTCTTTCAACTACAGCGCTCACGATGAGCAATGGCACACCTTCGCCATTACTGTTGGAAATCAAGTTGTCTCAATGTTTAATGAGTGTGGAAAAAAGTATTTTAGCAGAGAGACTGTTTCAGAAGTTCACACATTTGATCCTAACAGTGTGTTTACCTTAGGAAGTATGCATAACAATTCTGTCCATTTTGAAGGAATAGTATGTCAGCTGGATATTATTCCTTCTGCAGAAGCATCTGTGGACTACTGCAGATTTGTCAAACAGCGGTGTCACCGAGCAGTTCAATACCAACCTGAAGCAAACTTTCCTTGCACAACTATCATACCAAGTAAGCGACTGAAACACTCTTCCCTGCCCAAACAGTTGGGAGAAAAAGTACTGTCAGAGAATGCATTCACTGAAGAAGGCAAAAACATCCCAAATATCATTACTAATGATTCTACAACAGAGCATAAAAGACCAGAAGACCAGATATTAAGACCTCAGTTAACTTCTCTTCTTTCAGGAAATGTCTCTGCTCCGGATCTCAAGAATTACGGGATTCAAAACAAAAAAGCCATCACTGCAGAACATAGTGAGGTGAATTTCAACCTGCTGGCCATCCATCATGGCCTCAGAGAGGCAAGAATGAGTACAGAGGAAAAACTCAGTTCTCTGCTAAACACATCGAACAATATCACAGAACACGATACAGTGACTGGTCTGTCTCCATTTAAGAAGATGTCCACTATTCTTCCACATACAAAACAAGAGAAAATTACTAATCTCAAGAAGGCTATCACAGCAAATCTATATACTAATGAACTCATGGAAATGGAACAGATTTTAAATACCACCTTGCGTAGAGTGACAGATGAGCCATTTGTGGATAATCACCTTGACTTAAGGAAGGAGGGTGAACTTTATCCTGATGCTACTTATCTCATCGAAAATAGCAATGAAACCGAGCTTTCTGATTATTATTATTATGAGAATCTTAATACAGTGCTTGAGATGGAGTATCTGAGAGGCCCAAAAGGGGACACCGGACCCCCGGTAAGTTGTTGTTTTGAAAATGTTTTAATGCACTACCTACACATTACATCTTGGACTATACCATGTAGAACCAATCAGACCTGGCATAGAAATGTATTCTGACACAGCAATTGTACTTTAATTTGAAGAATGCACCTATTGGATGCAGCTTTGGCTCAAATACTATACTTTTTAAAAATTGACAGCCCAAAAGGGTTAATTCTGAGTAAAGTAGTAGGCAATCTATATGTTTTTCTTGTTCAACTGAAATTCAACCAGGAAATTAGCTGCTAAATATAGATCAGCTTTCTTTATGTAAAAAACAAACAAACAAAAAACATTATCTTAACACATAGTCTTGTGGAAAGACGAACATACAAAAGTTATGGTAGGTTAAAGAAAATACACTACATTGATTATTCTTTTAGCTAAATAGCATCAAATGGATTAACACACTGCAATAATTATGCAGAGGTTATTTTATAGTCAATCACTGCTGAATAATTCTCTTTTTTTAAACCTCTTGATATTGTCATTTTAAATATAACTTTTTCATTCTCATGAAAAACAACATGTATCATTATATCTGTAATGATATAATCAATTTACACTTAGGGATTAATAAAAGCTAACCTATCTAATAAATATGACCAGTCAACCTACTTTTGGGGGAAAAAACACACCTATCAAATAGGAAAAAAACCCTGTCATATTTTATAATATATAATCAAAACTGTGAGATGATACACTGAATTTTTAACTCTGACTTTCTTTTGCACAAGTGTAATTAGGGATTAATATTTGAAATTGTCTAACATCCTTTTAAAGCCACTTAAAAGCCCTTTAAAGCCATTTGAAATCACAATGCTATAAACACTTGTTTTTGCTTTCATACTGGTATACCTTGAATAATTTACCTCTGTCTTTAGAAATTAATTTTCAAAACTGCAAACATACTAAAATATATTTTAAGAATCTGTTTAAGGACAACAAAATTTGAGTCATTGATTTAATTCTAGAAATCACAGAATGAGATAAGATAATACCATTTTTTTCTTAGATTGCATTTCCTTATGGTTATTATTTGAAGCAATTTAATAGATATGAAGCAACTCAGAGTAAATGGTTAAGGATTTTTAAAAATCTGAGAAATATTATAGAGACATAAACTCTTTTCAACTGTTACAATTAATTATCAACTTATTAATTATAAAAAGAATCACCTGGGAGGTCTCATTATACTAAGAGTGTCTTAAGCCATTTACTTTCTTTAAAAAAGTCAGTATCATGAGATGAACAATAATCTCTTCTATAAATCCCAAAACAGTCATTCGGCTTTAGTAGGTGCAACAGTAAATATCAACAGATATTTACTTGAGTCTCAGCTATGTGTAAGGCAGGAATATAAAGTTTACACAACACAGTCATTTCTCAGAAGGAACTTACTTTTCAGTAATGGGGTAAAGGAAGTATATGTTTATAATTCTATTTTGTGACAAAGTAAGACAATTGCTTCTGAGAATTACACACAAGCTTTATTGGGTAGAGATATTCACAGGTGAGAATAAAATAATATATTTGAGGGAATACCTGTGAACAGTCACGTAGAACTAAGCGGGAGCTGTTCAGGATAGGTTTTATGGACAAAACGAGTTATTATGTAGGCTGAAAGAATGGATACAATTTTGCTAGTGACAGGAGTGAGTATGTTTTTATACATAGTAGCTATCACCCACTTCCTTGTGGAAGACACTCAATCATGCGCTTCACATGCATCGTCTTGAGAGGGCTTTGTAAGGTTAGTGTTCTAATTTTCAATTTGCTTAGGTAAAGAAATTTAAGTTTAAAGGAGTTTATTTGCTTGCCTACACTAACGTTGCTGGTAAATGATACAGCCAGTATTCAAATCCAGAAATAGGTTTTCTGCCTCTATAGCCCAACTCTTTCATATTAGGCTAATGTTAAAAAATCTAAGCAAGGTATCACAGGTTGTGGAGAAAATGAATAAAATCAAAATGATTGCTATATATGAAGGCTTCAGGTTCAGAGAATCATGATATCATCATTAAAAAACAGTGAGGAAGAGAGCAAGCCAATTTTAGCAAGGAAAATAAGTTAAAAACACTTAAGGCAGGGGTCCCCAGTCTGTGAGCTCTGCCATCTGTCAGATCAGATTGAATATGAAATTCATTTTGGGTAGTGTGGGCATATTAACAATATATATTCTTCCAATCCTTAAGCATGGGAGAGATTTCCACTTTTAGTGTCGTCTTCCATTTCTTTTATCAATGTTTTGTTATTTCCGTTATAGAGACAATTCACCTTTTTGGTTAAAAGTAGCCTAGGGTATTTTTTTATAGCTATTTTAAAGGAAATTGCTTTTTATTTTTTCGTGCTCAGCCAGTTCATTACTGATGTATAAAATACTACTAACTTCAGTAGTTTGTATGTTGTTTATATATTGCAACTTTACTTCTAATAGGCTTTAGGTAGAGTTTACGCTTTTCTGTGTATGGAGCCATATCAGAATGGCTTCCTCTTTTCCTATTGGTATCCTATTATTTCTCACCTGCCTAATTTATCTGGTGAAGTACCATGTTGAAAAGAGTGTTGAGGGCTGGGGATTTAGCTCAGCAGTTCGGTGGCCTGCCTCACAAGGGCAAGGACCTGAGTTCAATCCCCAGTACCAAAAAAAAAAAAAGAAAAGAGTGTTGAAAGTCCTTAATGATCCTTTGTTGTTTCTGTTGTATAACTGTTACTGTCTCCTATACTTTTATTGTCCTTGAAGTTTATTATACCTATTAGGCTCTGTGCCCATTTTTTTCTGGTACTCTTTTGACCCAGAGATTACTTTTTATTACAAGAAAGTTTCCCCTTTCTTCCTCAACTCTTTTCTGTTCCATTCTCTACATTCTTCGGGCACACATTTTGCATGAGTGTGATGATGTCAGTTGTGATATAGTATTTACTGTCTTCTTTACAGCCATATCATTGCGATTGCTCTTTTCCATTTTACCTGTGTGAATACATATGTACTATATCCATTTCCCTTTATTGGTTTTTCAGTTGCATTTAATCAACTTTTGTTGCTTTTGACAGTTTTCATCTATAATAGTTTCTTGTTTGCATTTTTATATCTTAAGCTTATCAGGGTAACATTTAGGAACTTGTTCTTTCTGTATTTATGAAAGTGAACTTTTTATCTCTTGTAACACTTTTTTGTACTCTCTTTTTGTAGAGAAATGTCATATTGAAATTCTTTGAAAATGTAGTGAACTACATAACTGAATTCTTTCTCTGTTGCATGAAGTAATTTCCCATGTGGTAAATTATTTTCATCTACTTTATGTTCTTATCCTCCCACTTCTCCATTCCTCTCAATACCCATGTATACAGCCCATACTGGATAAGTTTTGGTTATTACATTTTTTCAAAATAAAGGCAATAATGCCTGGGTTGTTTTGCAATAGTACAGGGAGAGGCCAAGTCAAATAAGGTGGAGTAATATATAGAATCAAATTTAGACTGCTGTATTTGTTTTGATACTATATTTGTTTTGCCTACTACCAATTTTGTGGCATGTCGCCTTTCATTTTCATATGCAGTTTCTGTGACTCTTTCATATCAGAGGTTCTCTGGGAAATTATATGTTGATTTATGCTCTTGTCTTTTATTCCCTTTCAACACCAGAAATCCCCTATGTTTAGATTTGGTTGTAGATCATAAAAATGGTGGGTTCTTTTTCTCCAGTTCAACATTCTCTATTCTTGGGCTTTGAAATTAGGTCTTTGCTGAATCCTGAATTATTTCTTCTGTGCTTGCCCATTGCCTTAAGCATCATCACTTAATCAAAGGATTGCTAGAACTGATGTTAGATATTTCCTTAGTATTTAATAGCAACTACTTTTTAGTTCATTTGGGCCCCTATCACTACACACTACACACTCGGAGGCTTCTAATCAACAGATGTTTATTTCTCACAGCTCTAAAAGCTGGGAAGAACAAGACCAAGGTGCAGGAGGATCTGGCGTTTGATGAGGGCCTGCTTTTTGGTTCACAGGTGGCGTTTTTCACTGCGTCCTCACCTGGCTGCACAAATGAGCCCCTTGGGAGCATTCGTGTTAAGAGCACAAATCCATTCACAACTGTGCTGCCCTCTTTTTATAATCTGCCCCCAAAGCCCTCACCTTTTAATACTATCAGTTTTGAATTTTTCAGGGGGTTCTAAAGAGTCAGACCATAATGCACCCTAAGATCAACCGCCTTTTCAGTGTGATTGCAATATTGTTTTCTTCAGTCACAGAGTACCGTGGCAGGGCACGAAACAAAGCTGGAGATTTACAAATTAGGATTTTCTACTGCTTAAAATCTTAGCGCTAATTTCTCCTTATTTTTGAGGGATTAATTCAAAACAATAGCTTCACTTGATTATAACAAGAACAAAACCTAATTGGAAAAGAATGTCGTCTTTTCCTTGATAATAAATACAAATAATTTACACTCACTGTGTAGCAGAGGCTGGCCTCAAACTTGCAGTGTCCCTCCTGTCTCAGGCTCCTCAGTGCTGAGCCTACAGGTGTGCCCCACCACACCCAGAAAAAAAATCATTTTTTAATGGAAGCTAGTGATACAATAATGGCTAGGAAAATATTTGAACAGCTCTAGAAAGAAAATGCTTTCAGACTGTGGTTGAATAGAAATGGTGCTTCTCTCTCAATCCTAGGGAATACATGAATTCTATCAAGTAAGGAGGGAGAAGAAGAAAAAGAATACGATTAAAGAAAAAAATGGGCAGTTTGAAATATATAATGAGTATCAGAAAGCTAAAAATGACTGTGATATTTAAGCTTGTTTGTCCTAGGTGAGAGTAAACAAGGAGCATAATGGAGGATAGATATTGGGAAATGGGAGACGATATTCAAATGGGAATGGGAGAGGGGAAGAGAAAGCAGTGAAAGGAATAAGGAGAGACTAGAAGGAAAAATGGAAACAAAACTTTTGTAAGTGGGGAGATTGAGGGGAAGGAGGGAAATGGGAAGAAAAGAATTAAAGACATATTATATATAGGTACAAACTCCCTATGATGAATGTGAGCAATGTATGACAAATATGTACTAATAAAATATAGTTAAAAAGCAAAGACAATATTACCGAGAACTTGAGACATGAAGTATACAATGTGAATATATATTTAATAAGACTTTTGAGAGAATGTAGAAAAGTAATATTTAAGTAGTATTAACTTCAATAAACCTGTGCATCCAATTTGAAATGATTGCCTATTACCAAACAAAACTGAAAAGGGTAAGCTGCATCCTGAGGCATCCTAGTGCAAGTACAGCTGTGTGCAGTTGAAACTATGTGTTAAAGTAAGTTCACAATTATGAAAGACTACACATCTCAAGATTAAAATAAAATAGGATATAGATATTAAATTTTAGAAAAGAAAATGACTTGATATCAACAAAAGTAAAAATTTCAGGGAGTAATTAATATCAAGATGAATGAGATGAGAAATATGCTATATAATATTATTTTTAGCGTAACTTTCTCATACCCCTTATATAATTATCACTGAAATTACTTTCCTATCAATCCATTTTCCCCCCTTACAATGCACTTTTAGGTGTACCTAGCCTTGCTATGTATTACATTATATGAAATGTCATTTTTCTAAGTTAAAAATCATCACATATTGGCATTTCGTTATGAACCATTAGCATACATATACATATATATCAAAATGAGGTACACTATGTCACACTGCCTGTTAGTGGTAAAGCCAGTACTTTAATTTTGATGTGCCTAATTTAAAGCTTCTACTCCATTTACTGCAATAATGAATGGATATTGCTTCACTGGAATATGTATATTCTTTATACACACTCAAAGTGTTGTCGGGCCAGAAGAATACTGTGATAATTAAATCCGTGAGATATGAATGAATATGTCCCCCATTGTATCACAAATGAGCATTTATTCTTCCATAGTTGGCTGCTAAAGTAAATAAAAATATAACACAAACAACTATATGAGAAAGTAAAGAATTAGTTTTCTGTTTATCATTTGGTATAATTTAAAAATAACATTTAAATAACTCAAAACCTAGTAACAATTGATCAGTTTTTACTTTGATACTTTCTTTCAGAAGTCACTACCTTCTGGGGGGGTGCATTTAGCATAAAGCAGATTTATTACTGCATATATAAAAGTCTCATCGTGACATGTTATCACATTACATAGACCTTTGGTACAATTCTCTTAAAAGAACATATAATGGTTAGGGCTTTATTTCTCAAGGCTAATCCTTTTTTGAAGTGCATTTTTAAAAACCTGTAGTTGTTGGTCTCCAAAACATAAACTGAATTACTCCTTCTGTAATAAAAGTAAGTTTAGGTAAAAATCATCCACAAGAGTACTAGTTATGGTCTCTGTAAAAACCAGATACACTGGCTGTAACCATAAGTTATAGACTTCCTGCTGCCATTTCTGGCCAGATTAAAGAGGAAACTGGAGTTTTAACTCACCCCTGCCAATTTGGGTGAGGAGATTAATCTTATTTAAAAATCATTATCAGTTGGGAATCAGGAATGGAAAAAAGTTATACTGGAATGGGAATCTCATTAAGGCTTATAAGAAAAGATATATCTACTATCATGCCTAATATCTTAACATTTGTTTTGCAAGGGTCCACCTGGCCCAGCAGGTGTCCCAGGTCCATCAGGAAAGAGAGGTCCACGGGTAAGTAGAAAGGCTCTATTTCTTGCTAGCTGTGAGAATTAGAAACTTTTCCACATTTTTGCTCTTGTACTGTACAGTTTGTACTTCCTCTGGCAACCTGCCTGGATCTTCAAATTTACCTTTACTTTTGCCAATTCAAAAGCTTAAGAACACATGCAGCCCTGTGTATTTGAGTATAAGCAGCTAGCCAAAGAATTCTCTGTGAACATGTCCAAGAAACACCATCCAATTTGTAGATTAGTGGCTGTCCTGGTGCTACTTGTAACATTATTCTTAGTTATAAAGTGATCTGAGTAGTGTAAGTGAAGTTCATTTGGGAAGAGGACTGGGGCTACCTTAAAATAGTACATTCCTGGATTACAGAGTGAAAATACTGGAGCTATTGGCTAGGGAAAAAAATTGCTTTAAGAAAAAAATCCTGTCTTAAGGATCACCAGTAGTTTCTCATATTACACAGCTCCAATGAAAGATTCATTGCTATGTTAGAATTAGCTTCTTTCAAACCTCAGAACAATAAATGTGGGTTTTTCCTAAATAAAGGTTTTTCTTCAGTGAACTAGAAAAAGACTTGTGTATTGTAAAGATAAATGAAAATGTCTTTTATATATTCCACTTTCTTTTTATCCTGTATTGTTTATCATACAAACAATATAAGGTAAAATCACTTTAAAATATTAGTTTAAGTTATCTGTATTACTCTATATTAGTACAAGTTTTCTTATGTAGGTGCAGCCTAAGATAAATTTCTCCTTAGCTGATGACCTATCACACTCTTCCCATATCCCTTCTAAACTTTACCATTCTTCCCTAGCTCTGGAGCCGTCCTCTTCCTCCTATCTCTCTGCAAGGAGATTTGGGTCCTATTTTTCTCCAGGAAAAAAGGGTCCAACTTTGCATTGGGTTCCTTCTATACCCCTAAGGCTGATCTTCCAACAGCATGATCTTCAGGTTCTGAATCTCCAACTATTCTCAGTTTCCTTCTTCTCCCCTTTTATTTATTCAGTCCTCCTTCCCTTAAAGAAAAAATAGTATAGCTCTTCTCCAAACTAGCTACTTTAATTGTTTCTAGTATCGTCCCCGCTAATCAATTAAATTTGAAAGTTACAATTTCTTTTTTTCACTCCCTAAGTTATTTCACATTTTACAATAACCAAAAAATTGCCTTCTTTTTAAAATCCCAAGCTTTCATGTGTATTAATTTTTCCTAAATATACTTTCTTCACTGTTGCACTACTGAGCTTCGTGAAATAACAGTTGATACTCATTTTCTTTCTTCTGCATCAACAATTCATTCAGTAATCCCCATGAATTTTTCCCATTTCCCATTTAATTTCCCATTATCAAAATATACTTTTTGAAGGTTACCAATCACATGTTGCAAAATCTAATCTTTTCCCTCAGTTTTCATCTTGCTATACATGTCTTAAATACAGTATTTACATTACTGATCCCTCTGTCTTTCTGAAACACTTTGTTATGTAATACAGAACCAAAGAAAAAATAATTATCAACTCTATGTTACACGTTTAGATGAAGGTATAGCTAAAGAGTATGGAGGAAGGATACAAAAGTCTAATAAGCACAGGGGATCTGGAGGGTTTTTCTGAAGGTGATTCTCAATTTTTCTACTTAATGGTTACGAAAGCTGAATTTTCCTCTTTTCTACCTTGTAAGATTGTTATAAAGATTAGAAATGAGAATATAAATCATTAATATATTTCCTGGCACAAGAATTAAGTACTCAGTAAATAGAGTTGATTTTTTAATTCAAATTGTATGATCAGTGAGGTACAAATTAACAAATGTCTATCAAGTGGCCAATATATGTATGCTAAGTACTGCAATAGTTGTGTAAAAAGAATCCCTCTACAGAAAATGGGTAATCCCATAACTTAATGGCATATTCCACGAAGCAATTAAAATAATAATAAAATACTTTAATGGATTAGATATGTCCCAAGGCAATAAACAATTAATTCATAGATAAATTTTACAGGCAGTAATTCCTATAAAAGTTAATAGGAGAGATAAATTACTGTGTACTATCTGTGGTTAGGACCCCAAAATGAGAGGGACTGGATAAAGAAGATGTGTTTTTTTAATATATAAAGGAGTACTACTCAGCCATAAAGAATGAGAAACTAGAGTCACTTATAACTAAGTGAATGCATATCGAGGCCAAACTCTTAAATTAAAAAGGACACACGTGTAAATACTGAATAGTTTCTCTGGTACAAAAAACTAAAAGTGTAAATGAGGTTCAAATTGTATAATTGATAATGTAAATTATGAAGAAAAGGGCTAAAGGAGTAAGGGAAGTGGTAAGAGTAAGAGATAGGAAGAAGGGAAAAGAAAAACTATGCCAAAAGGAAAAAATGGAAACAAAGTCTTTGTAAATAGGGAAGGATAGAGGGGATGAAGGGACGGTGGGGGTATGGGGAAAAGGTAAGAACCAAGACCTGTTAGGTAAAGGTACAAGATCCCAGTGATGAATGCAACTGTACTGTATACCTAAAATGTACCAATAAAATCAATGAAAGGAAAAATAAGTTAAAAAAAAACGAGAGGGGCTATCAACTGAAAGTTGAAGAATGATTTGGGAAGATTTAGGGTGGAAGGTATATTAAGTGTAGTTAAGACTACTGACAACATAAGTAAAACTCAAAGACAGAAAAGGACAGCACATGCGGAGAGAATAGCACGTTGTTAGGCTTCTTCCTCTGCACTAGAGGAAGGAGCACTAAGCACGAAGCTGTGGCTGGAGAAAATGTGGGAAATAAGCACCACAGCGATGGGCTGGTGAATAAGGGAGGGAAACGCCTTGGGGTGTGTAATGACACAAAATGAAAGCAGAGTTCTCCTTTGTAATTAGGATAGTTATCCTTCAATACACCCAAGATCTCAAATAATTTTTTGGGAAAAAGATAGCATTCATTTTAATTAAATTATAAGTGTTTATTTGGATATCAAAATACATACCTATTTGTATCTATATTTATAAGTATGAAGAATAGTAAGACTTTTTCATAATTTGCAGGGTATACAAGGACCGCATGGAAATCCTGGATTACCTGGACTACCTGGTCCAAAGGTAAGTTATTAATAATGAATATCACATTATTTTCTTTCCTTTTAAAAGAAGATCCTTCACTTTTAAGACCAGATGTGAGATATCAAGTGTCTCTGTTCTCTCCAGATCATGATGCTGTAACTGAATTGTCTTAGCCTGGCAGAGAGTTGGTTTCTCCAAAAGCCTTTCAAACTCGAATTTCCATATTTAGTGGTAAAGTCAGGTACAGCCCTGCTTTCGTACTCTGAAGTGTTAATTGTCAAAATATGACAGAAATGTACAGCAAACTCTGAAATATATGGATTATGATTTTGAGTATAAAAAATAATAGTGTAACAGAACTATGAGCATAGGAAGAAGGTATAAAAGGATATATAGCAGGCTGGTTACTTTGAGAGGGTTATAGGAATAGAAAGATCACCAAATATTTCTCATACATATGAAATAAAGAAAATTCTGGTTATTTTTCTTTCGATTCTTGACAAGAACAACACAGCTAAAGTCATTGGGCTTTACAAATAGTGTATAAAATCGCCTTGTCACTTGTACATAAATAATCTATTTGTTTCAAGAAGAGAATTACCTGAACAATGGAAAGAGCAAATTACAGCAACTGCCAGTTTAGGAATGTGTAATGGAAATTGGAAATGTAACACACTACGGTATCTTTAACAAATATATTTGGATTAATAGTTCTTAAATTATTAGAACCAGAATGTGCTTTACACAAGTTAAACAAAATGATGCACCTAAAGGACCTGACAGAACCCTTGCACACAGTTGGTATTTAAGAAAATGTTATTTCCAAGGCCAGGTGTGGCAGCGCACGCCTGTAATCCCAGCACTTGGGAGGCTGTGGCAGGAGGATCACTGTGAGTTCAAGACCAGCCTGGGCTACATAGTGAGTTCGAGGTCAATCTCAACTATACAGTGAGACCCTGTCTCAAAAAACCAAAAAAACAA